AACATGTTGATATTCTTTTTTAAGGTTTTTCTGAACATATAACTTGGGGTGTGTGAACTTTTGAATTTTTTTTTATTTTTAATTTTATTTTTATTTCTTAAAGATTTATTTATGCATACAGAACTGGGATACAGGCCAGAGGTTCAGGGGTGGTGAGAGGATTCACCAGAGACGGAGTGGAGAGCAGAACCGGCAGATTGATAAAATACACTGCTGAGGGGAGCAGCAGGCAGGTCAGGAGAGGTCTGCCACACCTAGTGGATCACCTCGGGGGCAGGGATTGAACTCATGCTGAAGTGGCTTTAGCTTCTTAGTGCTGTGTTTGAACCTGTAGGGCCACCAGGGAGGGCCTACTTTTTTATTTTAATCAAAACCACAATGAACTACCATTCTCACCAGAGAGTGACTTCTCTCTCTATGTCTGTGTATGCATACATACACATACACATATACACACTTATATAGTATATATAAATTTACAAACAAGTAGTGCTGATGCAGGTGTGGAGAAATCCTATCTTTGATCAGAAAGAAAAACAGCAATAGACACTGATAGATCTGAGAGGCTCACTGAACCCAAACAGGATGCAGATTTTCTCTAAATTGCTAGGAGAGGTTCTAGATTGAAGGTTACAGTATACCAAGATAAACTTCAAGTCCTCAAAAAGTGAGGTTTGAATTCTGACGATGCTTTCTTGAATAGACTGGATGAATTATTATCTATTTAAGAATACTAAAAGCCAGAATCTCTTTCTTTACTAACAGTTTGCAAACACATTTGATTGCATTTATGTTAAAGCACAACTTGCTTCCTCACACCTATTGGTGGCTTAATTAACTGAGAAAGTTGCTTCCTTCTTTTACTTTCAGAAAATGCTTCTACCCTAACACTTTTTCTTTATCTAGGGATTATTTGATTCATATGGATCACACATTTAGTTTCTCAACAGATATTTACTGCTAATCCCCAGAGGCAAGGAATATAAAAATGTGGCTCCTACCTCATATTTTCATCACCTTTTGGGAAGAAAGAGTCAAAACCAATTAATTTTAATGTAACTATTTTTAACAAAGGGCAGGGACCTTGTCTAAGTCTTATTCCTAGCCTATATTAGTGCACTCATAACATATTTTAGTTAAATTAATGAATGTATAAATGCAAAGAAACTTTAACTTTGACACACCTTTTACAATGAGAAATACTAAGTGTTTGGGTAAAAATTACAAAGGCTAACTTCATGACCTTTGATACTAAGTTGTGTGTTCATGTCATACTTTGATTTAGAAGTGATCACATATATAGATATTCTTGCTTTGGAGATAGTGAAACTAACATGTGAACCTACAGAAACCACTTATATGACCCTGGCATTTCTCTGGGCTTCTCCTAATGTTAGCAGAACAATTGGGGAAAAACATTCTCATAGCTCTGGGCCAGAAGAGAAGGCCAGTGTTGTTGACCTGCCTCCTCATTCCCCAAGAAATTCCATCTGCTACTCACTCAAAGCGTATGTTAGACAACAAGATTAGTGAGTGACATTATGGATGTTCAGTTTGTCTACAATTGTGAGAATTCTTTTTGAAAAGGGATTCCATTTTTGTAACTTGTACAAACCTTGGAATAAAGCATTTTCTACCAGAACAAGATTATAGTGTTTTGAGGATGGTCTGTGGACATCTACTCACTAAGCCAGGTAAATATTATTTAAAATACCTAGTTTTAATCATATAGATACTAGGAAGAAGAAAGGACCTCTGGTTTTCTGTGACTTCTCTCTTCCTTTGCTCCCACACAGTCATGTAGACTCAAATGGGAACAACAGGCTTCACTGGGGCACAGAGAAATGACAGTGTACTTTGCACGGCATCTTACATTAAACATTAGAACCATTTTTAAAATTCAAATGGCAGAAGGATTTTGGCAGAGTGCCAGGATTTTATATCCATGCATCTGAGAGAGTGAAAGAGAGAGCTGTGTTACCTTTCATATTGTTGGGGCCGGGGTGGGGTGAGGTCGGGTGGTGTCTCAGCAGTGGGGATATGGCTTAAATGGCTCAGTGAGGTATGAGTGGTCAAAGAAGAAAATGCCAAGATTTTGGATTTTCTGTGTAAGATGAGTATAGAATGAATTTGGAGTTCTGGAGACTTTCATCAAATTGACCTTAAATCTATAATGTAAAACTTGTTAAGTCCAAATATTTCCTTCTCATACACTCTGTCAAATATGTCTAAATACCATGAACTGAAAAGGTTAGGGATATGAACATAATAAGAATATCCTGTAATAAAAAGAGTAAGCCTGCGTTATTTATAATTAAAAAAAAAAAAATGAAACAGAAGGTATGGGTAGAACAGAATCCTTTATGTGGCCCTGGCATCTCTCTATGTTTCTCATAATGTTAGCAGAAATCCTTCTGCTCTTCTACCCCTAACCCCTACAACCTCCACTCACCTCATCTGGTATGAAGCTGTATGATCTGCAAATAATTAACCTCTTTGTGTCTCAGCTTCATCACTTAGTGAGCCTGGAAAATTATAATACAATGCCAAACCAGTAAGGTTTTGGAATACAGCTAAAGCAGATTTGACTTTTGCTATTATTATAATTACTACTCTTGATATTAGAAAATTGAAATTAAGAATGTAGCTTGTCCTGCCCCAGATAGAACTACTACTTCCTTTAATATTTATTATTGCCCAACTGTGAATTTTGAATGCCTAAATATATATCTTCTAAAAACAAGGCCACAGACACATAATCTACTTTATAAGGGACTGTCTATAAAGGAAAATACTGACAAACTGAAATGAGGTTAAGTCAACTAACACTAACATCATTAAAATTGATGTTAGTGTTTCTCAGGAAGTAAGAAGAGAATAAGAGAAGTCAATTGAGGTGTTTTGTGGAAATAGGATTCCCCACATTTCCTATGGCGTATAAGTGAAAATAGTGGATCTAAAACTGGGTGACAGGGCTCTTCCTGGTGGCACAACAGTTTAAAGCACTGCATTATGAAGTGCTCCGAAGCCACTGCAGCACGAGTTCGATCCCCGGCCAGGGAAGTGACCCACATGGTGTGGCAGACCTCTCCTCACCCTACTGCTGCTCTCCTTAGCAGTGTATTTCAGTACATTAGACTGTTCTGCTCTAGTGAATCCTCTCACTGCCCCTGCACCTCTAGTGAATCCTCTGTCTCCAGTGAATCCTCTCTCTGCCCCTGCACCTCTGGCCTGTACCCCAGTTCTGTAAGCATAAATAAATAAATCTTTAAAAAAAAACTGGGTGACAGAACAAACTTGAACTTTGCTACTGTACTAATATGTTGATGATAAAGGAAAAGAATGAAAAGAAATTAGTGTGACAAGAATAAAGAAGAGCCAACTTTTTATTTTCATTCATTCTTTCACCTAATCATTTATTCCACTGATTTATTCATGATTTATTCATGACTCAGGTGCTGTACATGCAAAGAATAAGGCCTGGTCACACTTTAAGATAGTTGTGGGAGAAAGTCACTTGCCCTGAAAGAGATCAGCAGAAACCTGTTCTATAGGGCTTGGGCAGGAGTGATCAACTTGGCCTTGAGAGGTAAAGGGCTTCATGGTTTATCACTGGGTGATGCTACCACTCCCAAAGGCTACATAGCATAGAGTTTTAGGAATTACTGTTAAGGTAACAGTAATTATATCTTAATAAAGCTGTTAAAAAAAAAGGAGCGATTTTTATCTTGTAATGATCTACCGTGTTTTCCTTTTGTTATGTGCAACTTCTGGAAAAATAGTAATAATAAAAGTTCTTAGAATACTTTAAAGAGAGGTCCCCTCCAGCCCCCCCACAAACAAAACTGGGATATAGCCAAGAGGTGAGAGATAAAGCTGCCACTCATTTGTGAGTGGATTCTGAAGGAGAGCACCTCAGGCAAGTGAAGCAAGGGGTTGGCCAATTCCTGGAGTGAGCAGGAGGACAGAGACAAGAGTAGAAGACTGACTTAAGACAGGTTATTTTGTCACAGTCTTTTTTTTTGCTTGGCCTCTGCTCCCATCTCTGGTAACTTTTCCACCCTTCCTGGGTTTACCATTCCATTTCCTGAGAGGCCCTAGAAGAGATGGTATCAAGGTGTAAAAAGCATCTACTTCGAAATGGCTGACAACAGCCCACTGGGTGACTCGCTTCCAGGAAAACAGTATTTTTAGAAGAAAGTCAAGGAGAACAAAAATCTTACCTAGCAGCACCGCCTACTTAGTGACAGAATGGGGGGTGGGGCATACATCAGTGGGCTCAGGTGCTATCTCCTAACGTTCTGTGAGTCACCTGAGTTCTACATATCCTCAGAGACTGACTTGGACAAGAACAGAGAAATTTTGCAATAGAGAATTTGACTATGGTCTGTGGTGAGCTTGCCTATAGGAGAACAGAGACTCAGGTGTTTTAGGTAGAGGGAGCAGGGTGGAGTGGTGGGTTCTTGGGAAAATATGGCTGTGGGAAGGTGAGTCTGGTTTCCAGACACACATTCAAGTGAAGAAGACTCTGATTCTTACTTCAGGTGACCATTTTCTTGGCAAGGTCCAACTCTGCCTGGGTCTGTACATTGTGGTGCACCTTCAATAATGACCACGTTTATTTTTATTCTTTGTGAGTTTAAATTGCTATACTGTCTTCTCTTTCTTTCTTTCTTTCTTTTTTAACATCACCTTTAGTGCTGGACTTAAATGTTCCCAATCAGGGGCCAGACAATGAGATGAAGCAAAATCTTCTGAGAGTCTTAAAAATGTGATTGCTGAAAGGTCAAGTTAGCAATTTTCCTTTTTAATATTCCAAGCCAGTAGTGAAAGTGGAGATATTAATACTACATCCAGACTAGGGGCTATCAGCAAAAGTCCTTTTGAAATTTCAGGCTGATAATGCAATGCAGAGGAGTTTTTACATTTCACAGGGCTGCCCACATATGCCTCAGAAAAGAAACCTTAGCTGAATACGTAAGTCCTGACTCTGCCACTAATTTGTGGAGAGACACAGGAAAAGTGACAGTCTCTTCATGCCTCAGGTCCTTCATTTGTAAAATGAGACATTTGGAAGAGCAGTCTTTAAGATCTCAGCTAGCCTGAATTCCCTGAATATCTGAGGCAAAATTATAAGATAATGAGGCGAGTTTCCATCGTGGCTTGTGGTCATCCCATTGTTTTTTGTAGCATATTATTGACCAGTCGATTTAACACAAAGCATGGCTACTTTCAAAGCTTGGTCAAGACATTATTTTCAATTTCCCCGCTGGCTCTAGGGTCTTGTTATGACACTTCAGAAACATTGCCTTAGACAATCTGTAAAGAAGAGTTAAAAACCTCCTACTCTGCTTCATTAAATTCTGCCACAGGACAAAGTATCATGCAAGATAGTCAGGCATCCATAATCTAGGAAGTGTGGGGGGAGTTAAATAAAGGTCAGCACATGAAATGTAACTGTCCTCAAATCCCCGTGGCCTTACTGTCTAGTCTTTTTCAGATTAAAAGTTCTGATAAACATAAAGAGCATTGCTTAACTATCTGAGCAAGAAAAAAGAGGCAGTTGGTGATTTCAGAAAATGATATGGAATCAAGACCAAGAAGGGCAACAGAGGAGGGCAGGTAGGACCTGTGGAGAGCAACAGGCATTCTACAGGCGCTTACGGATCAAAGGCGGCCAACAGGAAGTTAAGCAGGAGGCTGATGGACTGTTCCACGTGAATTTGATGAGTGGTTGGCATCCGTTTGTTGAGCTGGTAAAAAATGGTGGAAAGTACAGCTTCCAAGCGGGCCACATTGAGCTCTATGTTTGGGTCCAGGTTGTTCAGAGCATTTTCCCGCAGTGCTTCGATGACGTTCCAAATGTCCACCAGGTGCACTACATACAAGGAAAGCAGAATGAACTCATTAGCCAGAGTATTTCTAGCTTCTCCTTATTCTCATCAAGTACACGGCTCACTTTTCAATCTACTTTTGTGTTTGAAAATATTTTGTCATTTCCAACGAAGTACGTATTTCTGTTTTAGCTCCTGAGAAATAGGCAGTCCATGTATGTTTTTCTACTAACAACTCCCAAATTTTATTCTTCACCTCTTGCTCTCTTCTCACACTATATTTAAAGGTCAAAATTAACATCTGTTGAATTCCTAATCTTGGAATCCAAATATATCATGTGAAAGTTACTAAAAATAAATATGTTGTTTATTTGTCTCATCCTGTATTTAAAACCTCAATATAAAGGGAAAATAAAATACTAATTATAAATTACTTCAATACTAATTACAAATTACTTCAATGCACTAGTTTTCCTAATTATGTGCAAGATCTGTGTTAGGACCCAGTGTTTCAATGGCAAATGATACAGATATGGTTAATGCATTAGGGATCTAACAGTCTGGTGAGATATAGACATGATTCAGAATCACACAAACAAGTAATCAGACATGATGGCATCCAGAGTGCCAGGGACAAAGTGGGATTTGAAATGCTTATAGCAGGGTCAGGAGAAGAAAGGGAGGCTAAAGGAACACTGTAGCCTTGATAAGGATTTACACTGAGAATGTGAAGACATGATTTTATTATTATGTTTTTTCTTTATTGAGATAACATTGCATTGTAACATTATATAAGTTTCAGATGTGCATCACTGAAAATCATCATGAAGACACAGTTTTAAATAGGAGAGGGATATGATCAGAAATGCAGCTTAAAGGTATCACTTCTGACTGTAAGGGAAGAAATAAATGGAGGTGGGTAGGCAGGCATGTGAGGTAGCTGGAGCCATTGCTGTAGCTCAAGTAGGCATTTCAGCACAGGGAGTGGCAGTACACAAAAAGCTATGATCATGCCCACTGTACACACTCATTTTCCAGGAGTGGCAGAGTAGAAAACATACAGGTTTGAAATCACAAAGATGAGGTTTCATTCCTGGCTAGACTGTGGGCAAGTTTTTTCACTTCTGTAATTTTTTTTTTTTTTTCCTCTTTAGAACTGAGGAAACTAATACCACCCTGCGGCAGCCAGCAAGGATAGAAGAAAAAACGTATGTAAAAGTGTAGACAGGAAGGCGTGGCACATAGTTGCTCAATAATTGAGAGGTACCAGTGTTAAAATAATCAAACGCGTTCCGATCTGTAGTCATGCTGTGCCATAATTCATGTGCAAGAGCTATGAATCCAAACCCAAGTTTTTCTCAGACCTCCAATTTCAGTGAACTAATCAACTTATAATTTGGAACATATATTGCATTAATATAGTAGGTAAAACAACATTTTGCATAATGCAATTACTTGCTAACGATAACCATGTCAAGAACAAAATATTCTTAAAGGTATACTTTATAGATTCTTAATATTAGCTTTGTACATTAATTATGAATGTCTCACAGCTTGTTTTTATAAGATATAAATATATTAGATGGCTGATGTAAAAGATGCACAAATCACATCTCTAGCCACAAAGGCAGACTTATTCAATTTCATTGTCATAAATTCTGAGTTAGAGTTTGACCTGGTTTTACCATATGTAGTGCCTGGATACCAGAGGCAGAAGGACCTTTTCATAAAGACTGCGTGGAAACATTATTTTATTGGTAACTGCCTGGGTAGGAGCAGACCATAGCATCAAACTGCAGGTTCTCATGCAGTCCATTGGATTTTGGTCAAATTTCTCTATCTGTATGACCTTGGGCAAGTCACTTAACATCCTTTAGTTTCAATTTTTCTCATCTGTAAAGAGGAGCCTACAATCGTTCCTCCAGGGTTCCATTACAAGTTTATTTTGAGCCTCAAATGGGATAATCCATGCAAAGTACTTCACACAGTGTTTAGTGCATTATAAGCATTCAATATCTATTAATTATTATTTGAGAAAGATAAGCACCACAGTCCTTTTCTTAATTAAATGAACATTAAGAAATATCCTAAGTTTAGAGTCATTAGGAAGTTCTTATGAAGTCTGTTTTAAAGTTCTGACAGTTGTATAAATTTGTTGCTTACTGTTAATAAATCATTTTAGGAAATGAGGACATTGAAATTGTGCAATGATGATGACATGCCACGAGATGGCACTGTGCACATTTTACTAAATAGTTCTGATGCTTTAACTGTCCATCAGAGAGCACACCTGCTATCAGGCACAGGCAATAGGAAGTGGAATTTCCTCATTTAAATAATTGCTTAATTTTGCATTAATATAGTAGGTAAAACAACATTTTGCATAATGCAATTACTTGTTAACAATAACCATATCAAGAACAAAATATTCTTAAAGGTATACTTTATAGATTCTTAAAAGCAGTATTAATATTAGCTTTGTACATTAATTATGAATGTCTCATGGCTTGTTTTTATAAATAAGTGGAAGTAAACCAAGCTTTAATAGTGTGTCTTAAATCCAGTCTATGTGAGACTGAGAAAGGTGAGGTCAGGCTTGGGTCGGGGGTGTTTGCACAGAGAAGACTTGGCTGTTCTCAATGACATTTCTTATCTGTTTGAGCATTTTTGAGTATGACTGGGTCCAACACTATTTTAGGATATGGACTTTTATGTTCATAGTTACAAATGACTTATACCCAACTGTCCCTAGAAAAAGTGGAAAAAAATTAAACCTATAGAAATGACTAATGCCATAAACTTTGAAAAGTAATAAAATCATATTAAATGCAGGATGGAGGGTACAAAAAAGTCAGACTATCAACAGACAGCTTTGAATTTAGTCCATTTCATTATTTCATCTAGACCACGCTTCTTTGACCTACATCATAGACACTGTATCCAGGCATGATGTCTTTTTTTCTCAAGCACTTGAAAAATCTAAAATTCCTAAACCCAATTCTACCATTCATGGATCCCAAAATTAAGGAGGGTGGGAACAGGGGTTTGAGGAAGATTTCCAGGTGATTGTGATAACCACTGATTATAAACCGTTACAAGGTCTTCAGAGTGCTTGCAGCTGGGCAAGCTCCAGAAAAAATCACTGGGACTTCATGGTGCTCATTTTGGATCAGTGTTCTCAGCTGTGGCTGAAAATCAACATCACTGAAGTCATACAACAGCCCGGCCCACTAATGTAGGTTCTGTTGGCCCAGGACCAGCAACACCTGAAAGAGCCATGCACTTAGCTATTAGAAATGCAGATCCTTAGGCTCTCAGCCCAGACCAAGAGATTCAGAATCTGCATCTTAACAATTTCCCAAGGGAGTTTGTATTCATATATATTTTTAAAGATTTATTTATTTATGTATACAGAGCCTGGTGCAGGCCAGAGGTGCAGGGGTGGTGAGAGGATTCACCAGAGACAGAGTGGGGAGCAGAACAGGCAGAATGATGGAAGTACACTGCTGAGAGGAGCAGCAGGCAAAATAGGAGAGGTCTGCTGTGCCATGTGAGTCACTTCTGGGGCTGGGGATCGAACTCTCACTGAAGCTACTGTGGCTGGCTTGCAATGCTGTGCTTTAACCTGTTGTGCCACCAGGGAGGGGCTTGCATTCACATTAAAGTGTGAGAAGCACAGCTGAAGACAGTAATTCTCAGTCCTGTGGCATCAAGGTGCCTAATATGTTCTAGTACATTGTGGGTTGTGTTGCAAGCTAGTAACTGAATAGTTTATGCAGTTTAAGAGTGACTTATACAGCTATGTTTATGCATGTTGTTTTAGAGGGGTTCAAGGTTTATAAGGTCACTCAGTGGAATGTGATGTGTTTTCTTAATTAGGAGAAAAGGGAATGTATTCAGGCTGGAAATTTAACAAAACCTGTCCATATGACATTGGGAATGTCAAGTACTCTGATACAGACTGTGTGGTGTATGTACCTGTGTGCATCCATATAGGCACACATTTAATCCATTCTCATCCTGGCCACCCGTGCTTAAAGTGTTGGTAATGTATCTGAAATTTTGTCATCTCTAGACATGCAAATAAGTGCAGAAAGAGAAAGTTTTGCTGTTGGCTACTCATCAAATCCCATAGGAGAGGAGACGGGTTGTTTTTCTTGAAAACCTACCCAATTCTCCTCTCCCTAGACATAAACTTCCTGACCTTCAGTGCAATATGCCCACATGAATTTTTCATTGTAACCATACTCTGCAGAGTTTGAGAACTAGATTAAGATGATATTTCTGATTAGCTAGATTGTATTTGTTCACAGAGTTGACTAAAAATGATTGTTGGCTTGTAGGAAGGTTAATTATAGGGATTCATTCTTAGTTATCCAAAAGAATTTGACAGTCCTTGGCACTAAAAGATGAACACCTACAAACAGTGTCTTTTTCCTATATCAGCTCTCAAAAGGAAAGTTTTGCTCAATATTTTAAATGCCAAGAAGACTTTAAGTAAAAATCCTTTTTAGGAGTGTCACATGTGGGTCAGCAGCCAGAAGTGCAGTGTGAGGGGGTGGGGAGAGAAATGCATTTCCTAGTGAATGTCAGGAATAAGTCCAGGTGCTCTTTAGACACATTACTCTAAGCCACTAGCCAGCTACATTCTTATTTTTCCACACTAGAGAACACTACACAATGATTTACTTGGCCCTTATTATGGGTCAACTCTATTCTGGGAGCTTGAATTATTGTGGACAGGCAGTCCCCTTACCACACAGAACTCACTCACAGGTAGTGAGCCAATAGAGAGATTTAGCAAACAAGTGCAATGAGCTTGCAGAAATACTCTTTCATTTATTTTCCTCCGGGCATCAAAGATAATGGGCCTCTTCATTTGTACAAAAGCAATCATATTCACCTTTCTTACTTTTTTTTTTTATCTGACAGGTAGTGTGAGGGAAAGGAAATTTACAAAGAAAACCATCAATTATAAATCAATTATAAATCAACATTATATATTTTATTTGTATTTTTTTGAGAGAAAATAGGCATTAAAATT